ACAAAGGTTCCTCTCCTCTCATCTATAACACACAAAGAACAGGGCTACAGTTTCCAGAGTAATGTAATATATTTGCAGAGATACAGAGATTAATAAAAATCATAAACTCTAGTCCTTTTCCATAGTAACACTACAATGAACCAAAAAGAGCAGCAAAAAGCAAAAGAGATCAAATTAAATTGTTCCAGCCTAGTATCTGAGATCTGGAACACATAACACACCATTCACACTGGAGAGTGGATTAATTTGATCAATTACTAGTTAGTTCAGAACTGTTGTATAGTATGCCATAGGAAAGCAGCATGGTTGAGACTCGGTATGAAGTGAGTGCTCAAATTACATCACAGAATGCCAAAATGTATCTTCTTCTGTATTACACTTACAATGCTGCTTAAACCTGTCTCAAGGAAGGTTAAAACTGCATCTGCTTAAATTATGAACTGGAATTCATCAGCCATAAAGGTTGAGACCTTCATAAATACAGGCTGCTCTTTATTTTTTTTTCCAGAACCATGTGTGCTCTACCAAGACCATCCCACACACATTTATGCATGTTAAACATTATAATTCTGCATCCAGCAAATTCAAATTCCATATTTAGTTTGGAACTAGGAACCAGAGCAATTTATGCTAATTGATCAAACTTGCATATATTTACTTATTTTGCAGCATTTTTGTATGTATTTGCATTTTCTTCTATTTGTTAATCCTTCCCACAGGTATGGAAAAACAACCTTCCAATAACTAGGAATGTTATTATGTCCAAGCTTGTGGTTAGCTAAATCTCATTTTTATATTATAGCAGGCTTTCAAAAACATCCTCAGTAATGCTTTCAAAAATATCCTCAGTCATAAAAGCTAGCCAAAGATGTGCTTGTTTTTAAATCTAAAATAATCAAACTAAGAATTTCAGGATGCTGAATTCTATACTTACATTTCGTGCTCCTTCTCTTTCTAAATTGCAAAATAGGACCTGCAATATTACATTAGTAGATTGTAGATGTTGTCATGGGCTGTATCTCAAAGATAGAATGATTTGCATGCAAAATTTTCTAGCGTATGGGCCCAGTATCTCCAGCCAACAAGACATGAGTACTGTCAATCATAGCGGACAACTAATGAGGCTAGAAGGAGCAATGGTTTCTTTAACAGTTTATAACTGTTTCTTTAATCCAGTATCATGCACTTTTGAATTATCATCTTATTTCCTAAAGTGGCAACATTCAAAGAATAACCTACCCATTGAGAAAAGAGTCATAAAGAAGAAAGCTATGTATCACATGCTGTCAACTTCCTCTCATTCTGACATCACTGGAGTGGAATTTTTTAACAAACAAACTCTCCATTAACTAAGGAAAAATAACTACATGGAAATCCCATCCCCCAGGTATACAGCTACAAGTATCACTAAAAGCTCACCAATTGTCTTGAAATCTCAAACACTCACAGTGAAAGTGTCAATATTTTTATTTAATCTCTCAGAGAAATGTTCTTTGCAAGATTAATAAATGTACCTAATGTGTCTGTTAATTAGTTTTCCTTACTATAGAAGTGTGCTTGATACATGTACCTGGATGACACAAACTTTTTCTAAAAATGGACAAACTAAATTCTTCTATCTAAATTCCTAAGAAAAATGTTATGCAGGGTGTTTAAACCCGGATCGCCTTAGTTTTCGTCCAGGGATAAGTGCGTTCTTTTCTGTACTTACATTTGTGGAGTTTGCAATGGAAAGCCATCCGCTTGTCCTTTACTTTTCCTACCCCATGTAGTCAGGGAGGACGGATTTAAGGAAAACTTTGCCCTTTAAACTCCCCCTTTCCAAGGGCAAAATAGTTTAAAATGTTACACACACACACACTCACTCCCAATTTGGGCTCTGTGATCTGCAAGTATGCCGGCCATAGATTGCTCTCCCTGTGACAGTCAAGCACCCTATCTTAATTTTTCCCACCTGTATGAGAGAATGAGACCTGTATTCCAATGCATATAGCAGGCACCAGGAAAAGGTTACTCTAGTAACTGCACAGAATTGATTTGTCTTCATGTGGAATTCTGAAGTATTTCTTATCAATGTATCAGCAGAAGGGACATGCATGATTTTGCAAACTGTTTTGCGCAAAAACATCTCAACTGTAATTTTCATAATGGAAAATAAGGCAGCATTCCCTGCCAGTGCTACCTTATTTTACAGGCTGAGGATGGAAGATATTTATATGGGACATTTTTATAGATCTTGTACAATTGGCCATACAAGCTGAATAGGTAGTCTTGAACTCAGCATCATCCTGCAATAGCCAGCAAAGTTTAGCAACTAGAGGAGGATTAAGAACGTGGTGAAGATGCTCAGATTCTAAACCTATCTCCCCTATGAAGTTCTGCCAGAAACCATAGATTCTTTGAAGGAGTGTATCTCAATTCATTCTCAGAATACACCAAGGGAGGACATTTGTTGACTCTATTGACAAATTCTTATCCTCACTGTTGGCAGTTTTCAGCCCTTCAAACATTGAATCTGGAAGGGGAACATCTGTTTTTTTTTCTTTCTTTCTTTTTTTTTTTGAAGCTTACAAGTTTTTACAAGAAACTCAATGGGTGAAAAAAAGTTCACACACCAGACCTTCACAGTGCAGTCAAGGTGCAAAAGTCTAAGGCTACAAGATTGCATTTTTGCAAGTGACTTTGCTCTCCTTGCATTTTTGGCAAGTGACTGGTCAAGGCTCCTCTCCGCCTAATCTTAGGATAGTGGGAGGAACAAAGTGAACAAGAGCTACACAAACTGCCAAGAACTCCTGGGAAGAATATTAAATGTAACTTCTAAAAACACATCTAATTCCACATTCATATTTCACCCCAATATATTTATGGAAGTAGGAGGAGCCACACAACTCTTCCTTTCTTCTTTTTATGAAGCAGTCACAAGGTTATCCTCCAGTCTTTTAGATTACTGTAACACTTCCGAAACGAATTCCACCACATTCATTCTTAACATCACAGCTATTAATACAGATTAGGAGTCTTACTAGAAATCTAAATCAATCCATAAATCACATAAACCCTGTATAATCCCATATTGTTTTCTATTTGGATTTAACAGGAATTATAAAACCTCATTTTAGGAAGGTAATGCAATATTATAGCCAGCATCATCATCCCTTACATCAGGAATGTCCAACTCAAGGCCCAGAGGCAGAATTCGGCCCGTGGGGTGCTTAGATCTGGCCCGCGGGGCCACCCTGGAAATAGCGAAGGACCAGCCCGCAGTGCCTCTGCCAATGAAAATGAGTTCCATTTTTGCTGGCAGAGGATTGCAGGAGGCTGTCCTGCAAACGGAAGCCCGTTTTCACTGGCAGATGATCGGGCCACCACAGGCATCCCCGTCCCCCCTGACACAAGTGACATCATACTGGCCATGCCCACCCTGGCCACACCCATCCCAGCCCCCTGAGGACAAACACAACTCTGTTGCAGCCCTCAATGAAATTGAGTTTGACACCCTGCCTCACATAGTCATGGTTTGATTAGCCATGGGTTTTTTTTTGAATAAACCATAACTGGTTAAGTTCATACAACATGTAACCCAAAATCCAAGGTTTAAATCTACAAAGGCTGGGTCCACAATATATGAATTAAACTAAAATCAAACAAAGCACATTAAGCTTTAGAACCTTGTGTGAATTAGGCCATAGGTTTCCAAGCCACAAGATTCTGGGTTAACAAGATCAACTGGATTCAGATTAAAAAAAATAATAATGAAAATCCATCAGTTGAATCCATTGATGTCTTCCATCAAAGCTTGGGCAGGATAGGACTAGACCATATATATCCCAGACAATGTTGCTTCATAAACTTTTCTCATTCAAATCAGTCTTGAGAAGAAAAAAAACACTGCAGCATTTCTGTAGGCAAAGCCAAGTTAGCGAAAAAAAGAAAAGAAATCAACCAAATTCCATGGTTGCAAAGAAAAGTTAGGATGAACAATGAAGGGGAAATGGGAAAAAAAATTTTTTTTAAAAGGATATCCTATGTGCAATGGATAAAGGCAAGAAAGTTGAAGGAAATTAGTATCTGCTGACATTTCCACACTAGAATTGGAAAATAACAAGGGTTAGATAATAAGGATAAAGCAGAGGCAAGAAAAGAAAAAAACCAAGCAGGATCACTGAAACCCTTTCCCCCCAACTCTTAATTGAAAGCCCACCTTGGGCCAGAACAGAGTGGTGCAAATCTGAAATTTTAAGAAAAATCTGCCTGCCAACAGTGACACATTCCAGGTAGATTAAAAACTGGGCATCCCTCAAAATCAAGTCTCAAGCCTCTGTGGCATTTGAGTGGATACATAAAAAAAGAGATACCTACAGGTCTAGCAGCATGAGAAATGCAAACTGGGGGGGAGGAGGGGGGGAAGTATCTAACAGGGGAAAAAATTCTAGCTGACAGACAAGAGGTGGATGTGATTATCTCTGAAACGACATGATCTACCTGAATGAACGGCCACCTCGCTGGGAATCCCGCTCCGCAGGGAAAATAGTTGAGCATACAATTTATAGGCGACGGGCGCACAAGAGTAACAGAAAATCCGAACCACCAAAAAACAAGTGGAGAGTTTAGGGAGGCAGCAACACCCCCCCCCCCCCCCCCCCAGCAAGGCTTGGGCTTCAATCCCAGCGAAAGAAAAGAGATCCAGAATGCTTTCCTGGATCTTTTGGGACCGGAGGGGGAAAAAAGTGTCTGAAAAAGTTGGAAAGCGGGAAAGGAAAAAGGAGCAAGGCGCTAAGGCTGGCGATCCATCTCTGGTCCTAGAGAGAGCGCGGCTCGAAAGAAACCGATTTCCAGCAACGTCGGAGATGCGGACGAGTTTATTTGCAATAAAGGCTGCGAAGTCCCCGGGGTAGCGGGGGTGGAGGGTGGGGGGAGGCGAAGAGGAATCTATGCAGGGATCTAACCGGGGAGGGGGGGGAGAGAGGGGGGGAGGAGGGGTCTCTCTCTCTCTCTCTTACCAGCACCATCGCGAATCGCTCTTCCAGCTCTCCCTGATCCGGCATGGGAACTCTTCCCGGCGGGGGCGGCAACATCCCGGGGCCCCCGCCCGGCTCCCCGCTCTCAGTGTTCCCCATCCCCGGCCCAGGCGGCTCCAGGGGAGGCGGGGATGCCTCGGCCCGTTTGGATCGTCGGTGTGGAAGTGAGCCGCCGTGGCCAGGCGGCGACAGCTACCTCCCGATCCCTCCCTCTTGTGCCCGGCCTGGGACAAGACGGGGCTGTCGGGACCGCCCCCGGCACCGCCCGCCTGAAGACATCGTCCGTCCAATAGAAGAAAGTAAGGACGGCTCCTTTTCCCGACCCTCCCTCTTCCCCGAGATGCGCTGCCCCCTTCCCAAGAAGCCTCCTCGTCCACACGTGGCGCCCCCAAATTGCAGGCGCGTCTGCAAAAGGTCTCTTGGCGACGCGAGCCGAGGTGGAAGTTGAGCACCTGAAGAGGGCGCTTTGTTTTGAGGCAACACCCCAAAAGAGTCCCGAACTTCGCCTCTTTTTTTCCCCCCTGCAGGCCCAATCCCGCTCACACGGTTTGCAAAGAAGCCCCTTGATTGATGGCTTTCGGCTCCCGAGACGCAAACGAATTGAAGCCCCAACTGATGTCACTTTAGCCATTCTTAGATTCACATTCATTCGGGAGGGAACTTCGGGTGAATAATGAAAATGCTTCTTTTAGACCCAAGTTGTACTCGGGACATCTTTTTACTTCGAAGTCAGTCCGCTCCGTTCGGATTCTCCGTATTAAACTTGGGCTCCGTAGTCCAAATGGCCCCTTTCTACTTCTACGATACTCTTTTGAGTCTATAATCCTTTCTGGTTCCAGCGAGTATCACTCGGCCATGTAAAAGGAGCACGTACAGGGAATCCGGCAACCTGCAGTAAGTACTTGAGGTATTTATTTTTTTGCAGAAATGGAGAAGGAGGGAAAAAACCAAAAACAAAACTACGACCTACAATCTTGAACGTACTTCACACCGGGACCCTAAGACCACTATTTATGAATCTTCCTGTTGTTAAAGATTGCACACCCCTATACGAACCGGACCATAGAATAGGAGTATGTGTATCTTTATACATAGACACGCGTACACACCCCTAAACCTGAGTTCGGTGCAATTGTCTTCCCGAGCAAAGTGAAAACTGAGGGTGCCTCTTTTTCTAAAAAGACGTTACTCTGAAAACGTACGCTCCAGTCCCCGAGACTGAAAAGACAGGATCGAGGTGGAAGCTTGCCTAGAAAAATTACACGACTTTCCCCCCGGGTTTTGTGCACGCACTAAATTGAGTCAAGAGGACAAAGGGAGCCGTTACTCAATCCTGCCCCTCCCACTGCGAGGCATCTGGTATTTGCGACAGGAAAAGAACGGCTGCCCCCTAATGGAGGAGGTCGGAATGGCGGAGGTCCTGACCGTTCTTCGTTTCGAAGGACGCATCTTTGCTCAGGTTTCAGATAAGCACTTAAATACGGATGGCAGAACTGAGGCGGCAGAGTGGTGTCTTAACAGGGTCAATTCACTAAATCAGGCGCCTTGCTCTACTATGATTCCCATCATGCCCAGTCAGAATAATCACTGTGGAGTCCTTGGTGCAGTCTGAGCTTGGTTGTTCACTTGCAGACTTTTCATTACCTGGCTAGGTAACATCATCAGTTTAACAAAGAATATTTATTTATTTATTTATTGGTTCGATTTATATGCCGCCCTTCTCTGGAGACTCAGGGCGGCTTACAATGCGTTAAGCAATAGCCTTCATACTCTTGTATATTTATACAAAGTCAGCTTATTGCCCCCACAATCCGGGTCCTCATTTTACCTACCTCGAAAGGATGGAAGGCTGAGTCAACCTTGAGCCTGGTGAGATTTGAACTTGCAGTAATTGCAGGCAGCTAGTGTTACTTAACAGTGCTTTAGTCTGCTGCGCCACCAAGGCTCTTATTAGGGTGTCTATATTACAGACATGTACCGATGATGTTAGTTAGTTAGTTGGGTAATGAAAGGTCTGCAAGCAGACAACGACGTTCTGAGAGCACCGAGGACTCCACAGTTCAACCCTGAGCTACAGTGGCAGCACAGATGTTAAATGATTCGACCTTGAATGAACCAACCAATGGAAAAGTCTGCACTGAGAATGCAGAGAATTCTGGTGTTGCAAATACAGTTCGTGGAAGATAAGGAGACTGTTGTATCTGTAAAAATGCTTCCCTGAGTTTTTAGACTTGAACTTCTCAAATCCCCTAGCCATTGATCCTCCCCATTCTTCTCAGGTACAGACTACAGGTAGTCCTCGACTTGCAACAGTTCATTTAGTGACCACGGCACTGAAAAAAGTGTCATGACTCTTTTTCACACGAATGTTGAAGCATGCCCATGGTCACATGATCAAAATTCAGGAGTTTGGTAACTGACTCATATTTACGACGGTCGCAGTGTCTGGTGATCGTGAGGTTACCTTTTGCGACCTTCTGACAAAGTTAAGGGGGAAGCCAGATTCACTTAACAATTGTGTCACCAATTGTGTGACTCATTGAACTGTGACAAGAAAGGTCATAAAATGGGGCAAAATTCACTTAACAAATGTTTCATTTAGCAACAGAAATTGGGGGCTCAATTGTGGTCATAAGTCAAGGACTACCTGTATAGGCAAATTTCTTTTTAAGTGAGAGGATAGTAGAAAAATCTGCTGGGAGCTGTCCCATACATAGAGCATACCAATTTATACTGTGTTTTACAGACTTTTGTAAGCTTAATGCAGTATGTTAACAGCTCTTTTAATATGACATGTTTGGTACAGTTAGAAGATACAAGAACCATGTAACTCAGTAGCAAAGAAGTATAGGGCATCTGTATTTTTTATAGAACTGTACCTACCGGTAGAACAATTTCTATAGAGACATTGTTTCTCACCTCTGCATTACAGAACACATCTGCCATAATTCCTTCATCTATATACTATTAAAAATATTTGAGTGTTTGCTTTGTTTTGTATTCAAGTAGTTTGTGATTGGGAATTGTGATCCATGCACATCTGGAAGGTACAAAGTTAGGACAGGCTGTTGCATTCCCAGGAAGGTGAAACACCATCACCCCCATACCTAGAAGAGCTACATATATACCAAACATCTTTCACATTATGATGAGGAAATAATTACAGCTATTGGTTTATTTTACTAATGCCAACCTATCATGCAGCTATTAAGTGTCTCTGAGAAAACTGATATCCCTAACTGGAGAAGTCCAATTTAACAGTTGATGAAGTAATCTCCCGCATTACCTAATTAACACCTTGGGGTGCTAAATTTTTACTAGGACTTGCTCCTAACTGACCAACATTATTAGATGTCAATGCTTAGCTCCCTGTTGTAAAAATCTGTACCTGCTAACTTCTGCAGATAAAGGTTCTGTGCAAAGATTAGCCAAGGAGTATAGCTTCAATTATTATTTAAGTTTTGGTTTTGATTCAGATGTTTGTATAATTTGAAAATTAACGATTACCATGGCAAATTACCTGGGAAAAGCTACTTTTAGAGGATCTTTTGAATATGAAAAACAAGCTTCCAAATTATTCGTATCAAATTTAACTATGCCTTTTCCCTACAAGCTGGACAAAGATATTTTGCTATTCAATTCTAATAATACAATACACACAGACAGATAATAGAATGACTATAAAGCTAATGTTTATTAAACCTATGAAAATAAATCTATTAAATTCTATTGATTTAAACTAAACTAATATCTAATCATAATAGTAATCATATTCTTTAAAATGATATCTACAAGACAGTGATTTTAAAATGCAATATATCTAAGTAGCAAAAAACATCCTATGATCAGAAAATAGATATTGCTGGCCTGGTTAACATTTCTTGTCAATTAGATTGAGATTTTATACTAACATCGCTCAGAAATGGTTTCTTTGTAAAACTGGGAGGTCAGGCTTAAGCTGATTTACACAGTAACCTTGAAAGTAAGAGATGGATAAGGGTGCTAGGAATAAGCAGTGAAAAAAGATGTTTGATGGTTCACCGTTTCAAGGGCTTGAAAGGTATCATTCCTCTAAGACAACCAAATAATATAACAGTGGGACAAAATAAATGTCCTCTGCTTAGGGACTTCTGTCTGCATGAGATACACTGTAGATACTCAAAAGTATTACTTTCACAAATAGGAAATATTAGAACTCTAACAAATTTGAATCAGTTATTCCACACCCATTATAAGTTACCTCAAAAGAGCTCTTTACTGTTTATAACCCATTAAGGATAAGTGGAAAACAGATAACACATTTAATTGTCATTTCTTGCATACGTAAGGTTTATATTCATCATCTACCATGAAAGGAATAACTTTGTACTATTGAAATAGGAGATTTTGCTGAATATAAAAAAGATGAAGAGGTTAAAAACATTCTAAAATAAGATATTCTGTAATTACTTTGTCTAGATGAGGGAACCAATGGATATGAAAGGCTCTGTGATGATGGCAAATGGAATCTGTCATCCCAAGAATTTTAAGCCAGAGCACATCCTCTCAACTAAATTCTTGAGGGGGGGGGGTAGATTAGAGAAGTCTGAAGTTCCACTTTCAACTAGGAAATAGGGAACTGAAAAGATGTGTTGGGAGTAAAGCTCTGGATTCTTATCCAAGTATATCTTCTACTACTCAGAATGACTGGTTTAAGTAACAGTAATCTCAGCTGAAGAATCCTAGAGCTACCGTAGTATCAGAAGAATAACCTGGAATGGTTGATTACTATATGTTACTAAATGCCAAGGAGCTAGTTTATCTAGAAGATCACCCAAAATTAATTTACTTCACAACTTTAAGCAAATCTTAATACACACTCACAAAGTCAGAGCTGAGTATTTTCTATTAAATTATCTAACAAAGGTAGTTCTAATGAGTACAGAGATGTACCCAAGCTGAAAAACTGTTTTATCAACAGCAAATGTGTGCTTTATGCAATACACAGTTGAGAAAGGCTAAGATTAGATCATCTTTAAATTAAATAATAAAGATTAGTTCATAATTGTTTCCAAATATTGTCTCATTGACTGAGGCAATCCAGATTATCCCCATGTTTCATTATGTCACATTACGAAAAGAAACAGGGGAGTTCCAAATCAGGAAAAGGGTTGGTGGTAGCAGAAATATAAGAAAGATCTTAAATTATTTAAAGCAGGTC